CCCAGCTTGGAAAGTTTCTCTTGCTACTTCTCCATACTAGCTGAGGATCTGACATATCATAAGTAGATAGCAACTCTTCATTGAATGAATGACTGTATTAATTGTCTTTTAAATATTCATTTGTTGTCTTTCACAGAGAAGGTGGAAACCCTTCTAAATCCCTTTTGTTATTGGCTTTATCCCTGACATATTATTTCTTCTGATATTTTCTGGCACATTTGTCTTGATGTTTAATAATTGCCTTGTCTAGCCTTACTGAACTGCATGTATCTCCAGTTTTGCAATTTCTCAATGATGTGTATCAACAGAATGCATCTTGTTCATTAATAGAGCCATCACTTTTTGTGGTTAAAACTCACATTCTTGCTATATATATATTTCTGTGGAAAAGAAACAAATTTTGAATCTAACAGGGATTGAAATAGGAAAAATTGTTGTTCTTTGTTTCTAATTTGAGTTTGCAAATGAGCACTGTGAATTTCAGCTGATTCTTCAAAGCTAGAACATTAGGCAATGAATATTGACTCTGGCTGGTGACTGGATTACATCTGAGGCACTCTATTTGGGCAGCCTGATTAATGAGTCTGTTACGTGTGATAACCATGCTTTTCCCATTTCTCCAGCCCAAATTGGCTGTGGTGTACCACAACATAGAACCTGGTTTTCAGAGGGCACTGGGTCAGGATGTAGGTGGTATAGGTGGTGGCTGCAGATATTTTTAATAAGGCAGACTTGCTGGCATAATGGGAAATAATTCTCCTGGGCCCTCGAGCAGGGTCATTTCTAGCCCAGTCTTTGCAGGACTTGAAAACATCAGAGTCACTCAAGGGAGGAGAGACGTGGATCCCTGTGGGAATGGAGACTCTGGTTCCGGGAGATTCCATATGCAGAGAGCGAATTTCTTTTTTTCAGAAGATATCTCTTAACCATGTTTTCTTCCAAACTCCACACAATGAAGTTGGACAGGCTCCTATCACCATCGTGGATGGCTCTTCTGGGGCCTGCAAAGGCATCTTAAGAGGGAATAGACTTGCCATGCTGGTACCTAATGTGCATGAGTTGCGTGAGAATGAAATTGTATTTAAGTCCAAAAGCACAACATGCTTATGTAACTTCAGAGCACAAGGGACTTTAGCCCTAACAGAGGATGCGTTTCAATGAAAAGCACACCACATTACTGAGCTCCTGAAAACTTGATCTGTGGTCCCCACTTCTCAAGGATGTGGAAAGTGGCCAGGTTCCTTTCTTGCTGTGAGCAGGGTACCTGTAGCTGCAGACAGAGGGATCAGCCTGTTCCCAAGTTTCTACTGGTTTTATGGGCATATTTCTCACACCCTGTTCTGCTATTAAAAATAAAATGAGGCACACATCACATATCTCAGACTACAAGACCTGTTTCCTTCAATAAGCTTCTCATTTGCCTGGGCTTTCCCTGCCCCAGAAAGATTAAGTCTCCAGAGACTTGCTGTATAGATTTCTTGTTTTGTAGTTTTTTTCTCCCCTTCTCTGCTATTTTGGAAGAAAATGAAGTTAGTGAGTTTTGTCTGTCTCTACAGACACATGCACACACAAATTTTCTACCTGGGAGCCAGGAGCAGCTATTCTCTGCAGAGAAGGATGGCTTTGTCCCATTTACCTGGGGGCCACACAAAATAGAACTCTGAGCTCATGTTTACCTGCTCTGTCCTGTTTGGGCTAGAGTTGAGTGGTTCTGGGTACATATTGTAGACAGGGCTAACCATGGGGGTCCAAAGCCTTGAGGGAACATGTCCCTTCACAGCAGGGCAGTTCAGGGTGACTTACCAAACCAGTAGCCCAAAGGCGAGGCAACTCTGGGAATAGTCCAGACAGTTGGGTGGGGTTTGGGAGGCATGGCCACCCAGGCCTTAATTTCTAGTTCACCTTCTCAATACCTCCAACCAGGCCCCTAGGGGGTATCTAGTGTAAGGATATAGGCTCATTCGTGGTAAGATCTAGGGCATGCAGGGGGACCACAGAAATCAGGCTGGGCCCTGTCACCAGAAAGGGATCAATCACCCTGTCAGAGTGACAGCGACAGCCCAGGGGCCCGGGGGTGAGTCAGAGGGCCAGCAAGTGGAGATGGTACCTCGGGAAAGGAGTGGTTCAGAGAATAGGGGCAGGGTTCAGTCTGCAGCTGGCCTTCCAGCTGGCCTACCTGGGACCCCAGCCTCTTCTGTGACCCCACATGGGGCCCTATTACCATCTGACATTTTCTGCTGTTGAATGGTATGTGTGACCTTGATGTAAAACCCTATCAAAGAGGCTGGAAGGCCATCCAAGCCAACCCTTTTTCTAGATGGGGAAATTGAAGGTGAGGGATAAGCCTGCCCCAGTGGCAGGGCTGCTCTGTGGGCTGACTCCCACCTCAGGAGACCCTGCCTCTGCACCTCTGCCCTTGGCATCCGAGTTCTGGTGGTATAAGGCTGTGGGCTCTCCCCCTGTGTCCTTGAGTGCTGTGTGCCATGACCTCAAGCTGAGCAGTGGCTTTAAGCTCTTTTGGGCTGCTTGGAACTTGGTTGGAAAACATATGGCTGCTTTGGGTAATCCTGGGCATGTTTCATTGATGAGAAAAGCTTAAAAGTACAGACAAACCCCTTGATTCAGAATTTGTACTAGACTAAAATTTTTTCTACATTATCAGTGGTAAAAAGAGGGGTGTTTGAACAGCAGATGAATAGGGTATGAAAGAGAACACAGGCTTCCTCTCCTTCTCTTAAACACTCTCACGATGTCCATGGATCCACAGAAAGGGCTGCAAGTACCTTAGGGACTCTCATGGCCAACCCAGCTCATTTTACAAATGAACAATCTGAGGCCTCAGAGTTTGGCTTCAGACCTAATTAGCTAATGTGCCTGGCCGAAAGCCTAGGGTCCTGGCTGGTCTTCTGTCTGCTGGAGCCCACATTTATTCACCAAAAGCATTTAGTGTGCTGAATTAGTGTTGATAATGGATTTGCTAGTAATATAGGATCCTTGTTTATTCAGACCCATCAAGTGTTGAACAGCTGTCTGTCTAGCACCCCCTTTGGGAGTGTGGGTGGGAACATACAAAGATGAATGAAATGTATAAGGAACTTGAATTTCGGGGGAGAAACCATGATTTTTGTACCAGTCATCATCTTTCTAGACAGATGTTATGTGAAAGGAATGAATGACTTGCTCAACAGCCAACAGAAAGGCAGATAACTTCAGTGAGCAAAGGTGTGTTGGTGGAATGCATAGCCTCTGACTAGCTTTGAAGGAGGGATGTGATTTGAGCAGGTAAAGAGGAAGGCAAGGCATTTCAGGTGGAAGTACAGGATTGGACAGTGTAATGGTCTGAAAAGTAGCCCCCAAAGGTATCAGGCCCATATCCCTGGAACCTGTATATATTACCTTGGAAAAATGGTTTTTGCAGATGTAGTTCAGGATCTTGAGATGGGGAGACTACCCTGTATTCTGGGGGGTCCCTAAATGTAATCACAAATCTCCTTATCAGAGGGAGGCCGAAGGATCACAGACAGAAGAGGAGAAGGCAGAGTGACCACAGAGGCAAGATTGGAGTGATGCAGCCACAAGTCAGGGAATGCTGGCAGCCACAAGAAGCAGGAAGAGGCTGGGAACAGATTCTCCCCTAGAACCTCCGGGAAGAGCAAGGCCCTGCCCACACCTTGGTTTTGGCCCAGTGATGCTGACTTCAGACTTCTGGCCTCCAGACTTTGAGAGAATAAAATCCCCTTGTTTTAAGCCACCAGTTTGTGGTGATTTGTTATAGTAGCCACCAGAAATTACTGCAAATACAAAAGGGCAAAGTCTGTTTGGGTAAGGGTGTGTGTGGTTCAAGGCGTTTGCCAGAAGCACAGTCAGATATTTACAGAGGTAGTTGTAAGAATTGAATTGGGTTAGGACCAGTGTCTTGTATTAGTTGAAAGAGTTCCTGTAAGTTGTTGTGTGGCCCTAACCCTCCTAACTGAGTGTGGGGCTCTCCATGATGCCCAGCGATCAGTGTTATTTCTCTGCAGGACTTGCTCCAGTGTTCCTTGCATGCAGCAAGTCCAGGCAGTTGCACAGCATGATGCATGTTGGTGGCTGCCACACCTGGGCTTGCACCAGGTTTACTGATGGGGAGGCAGAGCTGGCCAGATCTCGGGATCAGATACAAATGATAGACCTCTCATCTTTGGATGTGATCTCAAATTCCCCATGTCATGCCTGGCAGGAGTGTGACATGTCAGGCATGCTCAGCCAGCTGGGGCAAACAGGCTACAAGGGCCCTGGAAGGAGGGACTCTGGGTGCAACTCAGAGCAACTCTGCTGCTGGAGTAAGAGGATGGGAGGTCACCTGCCCAGGGGCATGGTTCTGTCAAGGCAGAAGCAGATCATCCAGCAGCTCTAGGGAAAGTGATTGAAGATGCCTTCTGGGCTTTTATGGCACTCTTATTGATCTGAAGTTCTTTATAGCCATCAAACAGCTGTAAATTAGAGGAATGAAATAAAAACAGCGGGATACTCAATGCCTAGCCTCCGATGAGTTTGACTGGGCTTTCTCCACAGCTCCTGCAGCAGGGTGCTGAAATGTAAGCCTGCAAAGGGAGATCTCATTCTCCTTTCCTCCCCACAGACTGAAGTTAAGAGGCAGCTTTCTCCTTGCAGCTGAAACCTAACCAATCCCCCAACTCAGGAAGTGTCCTTGGTTGATACACTCTCAGCCAGGACTCCGATCTAATTGTGTGCCTACTACAGGGGTTGGGGCTGCTCAGAGTCAGTTATCTCCTCCTTCCAGAGCTGTTTTCTTTTCACTCTCCTCTCATTTTCCCTCCTCTCTTACTCTTTCTTTTTCTTTTGGCCCTCATTTGGCCACTCGTTTATCCCATTAAAGGTTTTTGACACATCACTATTTGTAAAGTAGTTTGGAGTTTTCAATAGGCAATCACCAACAATTTCAATGCAGTAAACCAAGCCATATGACCACTGGACCTTCTTTGCTTTTCCCCTTGTAGAAATCCGAGAGGCCTTTCGGGTTCTGGATCGAGATGGGAATGGCTTCATCTCCAAGCAGGAGCTGGGAATGGCCATGCGCTCGTTGGGGTACATGCCGAGTGAGGTGGAGCTGGCCATCATCATGCAGCGCCTGGACATGGACGGTGAGACCCGGCAAGCAGCTCTCCCCTGAGATGAACCGTGACTCATCAGTGAGACTTGGGCTTCGAAGGGCTTTGCACTTGGAGTCAAAAGACTTGGGTTAAAGTCCTGATTTACATTTGGGAGTGCAAACTTGGATTGCATTAGGGTTTTTCAAACAACATTCTGTAGAGGCCCAGTGACCCACAGAGGTGGTTCTGGGGCCCCTGGAGGGACGGTGAAGAAGGAGGCCTGGCTAGGGGAGCAGTAAGAGCTGTTCTTTCCATACACCTCCCTTCACCACCTTTTAAAAACAGCTTCATTGAGGTAGAATTCACATACCATAAAATTCACCACTTGACACATGTGATTCATGGCTTTCAGTGTATTTACAGATTTGAGCAACCAATGCCATCATCAATTTTAGAACACTCTTACCACTCCAGAAAGAAAACCCACACCTTGGAGCCAGCACCTCCCAATCCCTCATTCCCCCCACAGCCCCTGGCAACCACCAAGCTACTTACTTCTCTGGATTTTCCTTTGCCTATTTTGGACATTTTGTATAAATGGAATCACACAGTATGTGGTTCTTTGTGATTGGCTTCTTTCATGGAGCATAATTTGGCCAAGTTTCATCCATATGGTGGTGTGTATTGGTACTTTATTTGTTTTTATGGCCAAATCATGTTCTATTATATGAATAGAATAGCTTCTTTTCTTTCTCGTTTACATACTGGATTCCAACATACAACCTCATTGGGGGAAAATGGGTTTCACTGTATTCAGAAAGTTGTAAAAAATGACACATTAGATCATGAGGGTTCTTTCCTGCTCTAAAATCCTGGGTCTATGCCAAACCGTTTGTAACCCTCCCGACATTGAGATCCCACCTTGGCTGAAGGTCCTGCAGGTAGCCTTCTCATTTTGATTTTTCAATATGCAGTCTCCCCCTCTGAAAAGCAGCTTAATTCTTGGTATGAGAAGTCCAGAGTGGTAGGCTTTGGGATTCTCAGATAGAGCATGAAATAAACAAATAAAGGTAAACAGAGGGTGGGTCAGGAGGTCTTGGAAGAATAGACTGAGACCATGGTGTGGGAGACGTTTGCTTGGCCGACAGACTCATTGGAAGGACAAGACTCTCTGGTTACTCTGCTGGATTTGTTGGGAGGATGGTAATGAGGGTGCACATATGGTGAAGGAACCCCAGCACCAATCCCCAAAGGTGGCTGTGAGAATTTATTTTCTGGTTGAAGAAAAAGGTATTTTATCAGGGATGTTTGGTGGTATGAGCAGTCTCAGCCTTGTGCTTACAACTCTGACTGTGATTCACCATGTCTTTGCAGGTCTGATTTGACCTTGCTTTGTATTTAGATGGTTTCTGAAAAGCTGGAGCAAAGCACAGTATTGCGCAATCTGTCATCCACTGACTCCCATCTCATTTCAGAGATAATATTTCTAGAAAAGCAAACATTTCCTCCTTAGCATAATAGAAATCTTAACCTGTGCTTCTATTTATGGGACTAAGAAGGGCTTTGTGCTTTGAGTTCTCCTTCCATTCTCCTCCCATTCTCCTCCCACAGCTCCTATAATAAAACCTAGTCAAATGGACTAACAGCAAATGGAATTCACAGCACATAACAAAAACAAGCCTGGGCTGCTGTGGGTGAGTTCCTATCAGGTTGAGATCTTCACAGAAGTCCATTCTGGCTCTTCTCTGTGTTCACTCACCAGGCTTCAGCACACACGGAATTTTTACCTTATTGTAAACAAGGGCTCGGAGTCCCAGGAGACCCTGTGGGATGCTGTTGCTCAAAGGGCTATCAGGACTTGGGAAAAGCTCCACATAAGATATAGTTTAAAAGACTTTTAGTTCCACCAATGTATTTGCAACTTACATACTCAGGTACTCATGCCCAAGGCAGAACTTACAAGAACTTAACTATTCTCTTGTATAGAATTTCTGTTAGTTCCCTTAACAAAATCGCAAGTCATCAGCTGTTTCACCGTGACCCTCATCAGGTACAAGCACATGTATTTACTTTTTTTTTTACTTTAACAGAGTGTTGTCGTTTTATTGAAAAGTAACACATATTTAAAATTTTTAGTATAAAAATATAGAGTAAAACTTAATCTCTTCCCTCAAATGTCATCAACCATTGCACATATATTTACTTTTGAAGTGCAACTTCTTCGAAGTTTTGTGCCTACAAAAGATTTAATACAGAACATATGAAAACAGCACTGCAGTTTATGTGAAAGAATTGCCTACCCAGTTTATTAAGTGCCTAAATGTTAAAAGAGCTAAGTGAAAAATGCTTAGTATAAGGCCAAAATATGTCTTTGGGTATTTTTTTGTAAATGATGCTGTGAAGTGAAATATCCAAGGTACCCAGTTCTGGACATGGATGGACTGACCGTCTTTCAGTGTCCTTCTCTTAATGGAGACTTTTGAGCTGTTCTGTTCAAAAATAAATCAGGTTCTAATTATACTTTTCCTTCCGAACTTCTGTAACTGGGGATTCTCCAGAGATTCAGTCTTGCCTAATTAAGCTTCTTGTTGGTGTGAACCTTGTGGAATGGCAGAGGTTTTAATGGGGATAATGCCACAAAATAAACAAATAACCACCACCACTAAAGCTGGACTGTGTGAGCCGGAACTTAGGATTCTTAGCTGTAAGGTGACCGTGCGTTTGGACCACAGACCCTGGTGTCTGGGGGCAGCAGGAGACATGGCTGTGCTTCCACCCAGCCCAGCTGGCCGTGATTAGGAGCAGGTCTGTGCCGCATACCATTCCTTTCTGGGGTCCCTGCTGGTTTGCTCACCAGTGAGGTCATACCCCTGGCACGGTATTAGCCTGAATGTGTCTTTGCAACCTGAGTTAACACAGGAGGCTTTCATTAGGTGGTTCCTTGGGAGTGGGGTGCCTTGCTGGCTATGTGTATAACAGTAACCTCCCTCTACTAGGAGCTCAGTGGGATTTCCTGGGCACAGAGCCTGTAGGAGCCAGACAGTTCCAGTCTGTGTGTGAACTGGCTTTTCAGAGGACTGAATGGAAGATAGGCAGTAAGGGCTTGGATTGCACTCCTGGCCCCTGACCAATTTGCCTTTAGTGCTGGGGCTGACAGTGTGTGTGCATGTGTGTGTGTGTGTCTGTGCACATGTGTGCACTGCATGGGCTGAGCTACTCAGACTTTAAATAAACAGAAAACCCAAACTTCTGCTCAATGCCTGGTGCCTCCTCATTGACCTATTGCTGCAAAGGCCCTTTCTTGGAACTTTAGCTCAATTTTGAACTCCTTGATGTTCATTGTCCCTCTCCTCTTGCATTAGGCGCTGCAGCTGAGGTGGCTTCTACCCTAGCACCGGTTGGGAACTAGGATTCAACTTTCCTGGATGCTGTGTTCCAGGATTTCTCATTCAGCCCAGATTCTGGAAGCCTGAAGCCCCTTCAGTTAAGCCTCGTGCCCTAAGGCATTCCTTGCATGTCGGAAATCAACGTCTCTCCAGTGCATCACTGTGTTAGTTATGTACCATCCTTGCAAGAATTGATAAAACTGTCACCCAAGAGAGTTATCCCCAAAGCTTCAATCTTTTGTAGAAACAGTTGAGAAAGGGTACTTGAATATGACCATGGACTCTGCCATGCCTCAGCCACCCCATGGCTGGCTCTGTGGTTCCCAAAGCAGCTCCCAGGGACCCTCAGAACTACCTACGTTATTCATGGGGAATAAAGGCCTGATATCTTCAAGACCCAAAGGGTAATTTTGACTGCTTTCTACATTTTAATGGTTTCTCCAACCACAGCACTGTGGCCTTCTCTGGAGTGAATCCAGCTAGCTTTGGAAATAGTTTCTGAAACCATCAAACCAGGAGACATTCTCAGAAGCCCATGGCCTGCGCATGGGCTCCACTCACATTTCCTAATATAGTCTTCCATCTTTCAAACAAATACAGACTTTGCCCTTGTATTCCTTAATTTTCCTTCTGTTTCTTAGAGATGCAGAAAATCATAAAATTCCAACAAATTTGGGGTTTTGACATAAATTCTTATCTCACAACAGGTTTGTCATTTTCTCAAGCTTCCCCACTGTCTGGATGACGAATTTGATACAGATTAGTTCAATTTAAAAAAAGGATTTGTCTGCGTCCATTATGTGTGAACTTGCTGTTTGTATGGTTGGCAAGGTTCACTTTGAGTTTGTTTTGAGAAAAACTGCTGAGCTGCGAAGAGCAAAATCATGGGCAGAGTGGCACGAAAGAGCAGCTTCCCCAGTGTTAGCCTGTCTACAGCTTCCCTCTCCCACTTGCCCATTCAGTGCAAGCATGACTCCTTTGCTGATTAGTCATATAACTGCAACCTTTCTGTTTTCATTTGTGACCTTTTAGAAGGCATATGCTAAATTACGAGCATGGCTCACTTCTGCTTCATCTTCAAACACATGTCAGTATGCTGATTTGTGTGCTCTGAACCTGGCATTAGGTATGTTTTGGGGGTTAGAAAGCACACACCTTTTCTGCCGGTGGGGAATGACACTCCCCCCTCATTCAGACTGCATGAAGTGGAAGCAGTTGGGGGTTTTTAGCCTAGTGCAGAGGGTCCCAAACCCAAGTGCACATCAAAAAACACCTGGAGAGTGTCTTAAAAAACAGACCTGTAGAATCAGAATCCCCAGGGTGAGGCCCATGAGCCTGCCTCCTTCAGAAATCTCATCAGGTTATAGACAGCGAGGTGTCCATTGATATAACTGGGAAACCTTTGGTTAAAAGAAAAATTTAAAGCTAAAGAGAAATCGTCAAGCCTGTGAATATTTGTGTGAGCAAGAAGGTCTGAGTAGGAGGTAAATGCCTGAAAGGCAGGTAAGAAGGATTTCTTTGGGAGTTTGACGAAGGAAGTGGATGGTCTGTGGCCAGTCAGCTCTGTCAGAAAGCAGGAAGCCCTCCCAGTGTTCACCCTGTTCTAAACACTTTATTTATTAACTTACTTAGTCCTCGATCAGCCATAGGTGCTAACTAGTATGA